CATTGCGTGGTATTTCGCTTCGATGCACGTATCGGTGCCCGCGCCTCGGATCACTGATGGGAATGGGCGGACAGTGGTTCGGATCGAGCCATGAACGACGCAACATTTTTATATTGCAAAGAAAGCCACTACGTACTGGCTCCTTGCAGTGTCGAAGCTATAAAAATGATGCAGCGTTTTTGGATTGGGAGCATTATTCGTCCAAACCTAATAAATGCTAAGCGTGTCATGGTTTAGCGTGGAACGTGATTGGACCTGGCGGCCCGTGGCTTTAGCCTATAGTCCATCGTAGGATGAGACGAACTATAGGAATTTTAGCTAGTTCGATCATCTCTCTGCGTGGTCATTAGCATCTCTCGGCCGTCGCTGCGTCCTTTCAGCTTACGTTGTCCCTGACTGTATACAAGAAACGAGCAAAACAGCAGCAAAAGCGAGACGCCACTTGCGACGCTTCGTCTCAGCGGCAGGGCAGTGCCGTCGGGAATGAAGTCCCTCGATAATATCCTTAACACGTGTATATAGGACAGTCAACACGAATGAAAAATCACATCTCGCAGGACGCCTTCCAGTCCGATTCCGCTGCTCTCCGCCGCCATTTGCTTCATACAACCCGCTTCGTCATGCAGTTGGTGCTTCAATGCATATCGGCACTTTTAGGAAGCACGGCGAGCGTATTTTTTGGATATTTCGTCTCACCGTCAGGGCGCAGCCGACGATACGGGAAGCGTTCCAAAACCGCAACATCATGGGCGCCTGGCGTTCGCCGTCTAAATGTGCTTGGGTTCTTGTCCACTGACCCAATCGAGCGTTGCGAACGAGGCGTGAGGTTTTGCCTTTGTAGCGTAAGCTACACTGGCCGAGGTTGAGCAGTTTCGCGTGGCTCCCAAAGAGCCGTGCTACGCAGGCGCGAGGAGCAGTGACGTCACACGGCGCACAGCTGGCGCGCTGGAGCCGCCGCCGCCGCGCGCGCCTCGCCGGTCTGCGCATTTTAGAGGCGTGACGTCATAGCCGCGGCGGACGCACTGGCGCCGCCGCGTGCCCAGCTGTGCGCCTCCGTTGGGCAGTAGCCAAGTCTGGCGCTGCCCCGGAGCCGCTTGATAGCGCCTCTCATTTTGTGCGCATGAGCTCACGCTACGTATTTCCCGGCATAGCCGAGCTAAGCCACCGTAATTTTTTGTGCATATATGCCTGTTTTTTTTAATACACACCGCTTTAATGTATACAGTCTCCAACAATACGAAAGACCAATTCGACGAGGCAGTTTCTGACGGCTGCGCTTGATTCGCTTGAATCATGCACACATTCGTTAAATTGAGGAAACAAGTGAACCTTCTTTTTTCTTTATTACGTGTGAAGTACCTTTGGCCAAAGTCTCCATAACACCGCCGCATAAAGTGCCTCGGCGAATGGGTCTTTTATGCTGTGGGAGACTGCACAGCCCGGCGAGCAGCTCTTTAGCCCAGCACGTGCGTGTTCGTTGACTCTCAAGATGGCTCTTGCCTAAAGCTCTTCATTATGCCGAAATCCCACTAAAACAACACAAAAAAAAAAAAAAAACGACAGCGACAAGCGCAGCCGTCAGTCTTTCGCGATTGGACAGGCTTCGTAGTATAAAAGAGGCTGTGCTCAAGCACGAGCATCGTGCACGCAAGGGTATTAGCGGCGAGGTGTTTTGGTGGCGCCCTCCTGTGGTTCCCTCTCGTGACGTCATTACCATGCGAACAACAAGTAGGATGGTGCTTGTAATGAGCATGGTGGAAGCCTGAAATCATTGCGCTCTCGAAGCAACGCTGCCAACACCGTCAAAATTAAAGTTCTCCCATTCCTTTTATTTCCGTCGATGAGAATTCCTTTCCTGGCGTCATAGTCAGCATTCGGCCACTTGTGGAAGGCCGACCACAGCGAAGCTTTCGATCGCGCACATCACCAATCTTCGGCAGGCTTCCAATCGCTCGTACTCACTTCACGAGCACCGAACGACGAAACGCCTGCCCAAGGTACAACCACAAGCATGCCGCATGTGTTTGAGCATAGTCTCCTCTACACTCACAAAGCCTGGCAGTTCGACGACGGAACCCTAGAGTGCCCGGTCGCAAATTTGGAGCGCGAAGATCTGGTAGCACAGAGCATCAAAGAGCCATTTCTCGGGGAACCTGGACGTCAGCGCACAGCTGTTTGACCGGCGAGGACCCAAAACGCACATGTTCGCTCGGGAGAAGTGTGTTTCGGCGTCTCGCCGCAGCGGGGCGCCGGTCATATGGCTCTCCTCTCATCCGTTGTCTGCCGCTTCACCTTTTCCATTTCGGCGGCCGCTTCTCGTGGCCAATCTGCCAGGCTTTGTCAGTATATAGGAGGCTATGGTTTGAAGCCTGTCGCTGTCGTTTGTTTCTGTTTGTCGCTCTAGTGGGACTCGGGCATTCGTGAAACGGTTCGTGGCAATGAGGTGTTTTAGTTGTCCTGCCTCCGGAGGTAACTTCGATAACACTTGTGCGTCTTGTGACCTTCGAACGTACACGTACAACCAAAGCACGGTGGAAAGCAAGGAGCGCGCGCTGGAGGCCGGGTGTCGGCTAAAGACGCCTTGTCGTTCTCATTCTGTCACCTGCTATAGCCCTTGGTGTTTGTTTCTTTGTTCATTATGTGGTGAAGGGAAAAAGAGGGGAGCCAGGCGATCTGTGAGTCTTCGTTAGTGTTCTAAAGTGCATTTTAATTCGTTAGCATTAGTACCCACACGACAGGAAAAAGCTGACGGCGTCCGTCTGCGGACAAAGCAGTGGAAAGGAAAGCGCGCCGCGTAGAGAGGATGAGAGTAGTGAAGGACAAAGGTGAGGCGACGTCCCAGGGCGGAAGCCAATCCGCGCGCGGATGCTGATGCCAGTTTGAATTTGCAGGTGTGCGAAGCGCGAATGCATCGGTTTGTGCTACAAAATGAACTGTGAACCAAGTACCAGCGCTGGTCTAAGTAGGCGGCGAAAATAATTCAAGGAAGAACGATTGGTGCATGTTTAGAGAATGCGTTAGCGTGACCCTTTGGGAGACGCCACACACGTTCCCCTTTGGGAAACGCAAACACTGACCCCGTAACGAAGCCAAAAAGAGGAAGCAAAGGAGAAAGCCGAAAAAGGTTCGAGGTACACCTAAACACTTCTTATAATTTGTGAATGCGAAAGCATGCACGTCATTCTTCCGCTTCCTTGTTTCGTCTGCAGCGTATTTGCGTCGACGGCAGTGCGCGCCCTCTCCTCGGCGCTCTGACCCTGGACGTTTCGTGTTACCGGCGCGCGGACGGACACGCAGCACCACGGGGTGGCGGTCGTTGAAACCGACACGCAGTGGCTAATGGGACCGAAGCCCAAATCCAACTCCGCTCTTTTGGGATCGGGCAAACTAGGTGCCGTATGGCTAGGCTTTTCGTGTGGTTTCACAGCTGGGAGCTGGCTTCACTTGGAGAAAGGATTTAACGTGCCGTTTGGCGCGGCTTCAAAGTTGATGACGTCGGCTCGCTCCATAAGACAGTTAATGCTTTCGTATAAAAAAAAAAGTGGTCAGCATTAGCAAATACCATGTAAGCCAATACTGGCAACTCCCGCGGATCACGGGCGAAAAGTGATCGCAGCGCCCCTAGCGAGCTCGGAGTCTCCGCTAGCAGAAGAATTCTCCAGAACGCATTGGTTTTGCCTATCTCCGTGCGAAGTGACCAATGAAAACAAAGTTTTCACGGGTATTCGCTGCTTCCAGTGTTAAAAAAAGAGGTGCCATCTCATGAGTGAAGGACTTTTTCTTCGCTTGGGAGAGATGTTACAGCTTCTAAGGTGCAATTTTCGGTCTCTCCTGAAGAAAACGCTGTGCCAGAACTTACGTAAGCCACGCAAAACACGAATGTACCTTCGCCCTGTTTCTTGAAAAGAGGCAGTGACATAGCTATGTTTCAACCTTACTGTTCATAAATGTATTGCTTATAACCGTTTCGTCGAATAGAAGATAATCACGATCATCTCCGGATGAAGAAGCAAAAGGCAATTTCGAACCACGTACGTTACTGCGATGTCAGTATGCTCTGGAAGAAGTCGATTGTGCACATGCAAATCTGACGCTATTACTAAAACTAAAAAAAAAAAAAAAACACCCGTTTGACGGCAGTGCATTTCCTTCCATTTTTCAGTCTACTTTATTTTTATTTTGAGGCGACGCTACGCCGCCGCGGTCTTTCTTCCTCCCGCGTTTATGTTTTTTGTCTGCTTTTTTTAATTTTTTTTGTGTTTACTTGACGTTCGAACCATCATGTATTTTGCTTTGCCTTGTTTGGCTTAGTTTTTACTTTCTTTCCTTCGTTTCGTCGCTTACTACCACCGGTTCGTCTGCTACGCTTTGCCCGGACATCTAGAGGACCGTCTGCAACTTTGTTGTTATTGTTTTTTTTTTTACTGTTTGTGATAACCTCCTATGTTCGCCTTCGATCGAGTTTTTGAACCGAAATCTTCATAGGTACTTTTTGATACTTAATAAATATATTAAAACGTGTAAGCTCGTTATACAAACCTATTCGGATTTTATCATCGTTGGTTGATCAACTGGCCACCTTCGGGCGTACACCAGCGCATACTTTGAGATGGCAGGCACGCCATGTGCTGCTTATGCCCGTGTCCCACTGGAGCGACAGAGAGAAACAAAAGACAGCGACAAGCCTCAAACCCATGCAGCATGCTCGCGATGGTACCTCTGGCAGGCGTTTAGTCGTTCGGTGCTCGCGAAGTAAGCACGAGCGATTGCAAGCCTGCCAAAGCTACCCTCGCGTGCATGATGCTCGTGTTTAAGCATAGCCTCCCTTATTCTACAAAGCCTCTCAAATCGCGAAAGACTCTGGTTTGAGGCTTGTCGCTGTCGTTTGTTTCTGTCTGTCGCTCTCACATGTATATTCCCCTCGTCATGTGCCTCACGCTAAAACGAGGCGCGTACGAAACATACAACGAGGTCATCGTGGTCAAACATGAGGCACGAACCGAGAGTGGCGTCCGGCGTGATGTGTCTCGGGGCACCCGTTCCGACTGGAGCGGGAAGAGACGGCACGGGACCCGAGCCTGGCCTCGGCTTGGACAGGAGGGGGGAGATGGGACAGGACGGTGCCAGCTGTCCGCTGGGACATCGGCACGTGTTGGGGCGAACGCAGTACCCTCCGCCGCACGGTCTCCTGCACACGGCTGGACAAACGCCGATCCAATTCAGTTCAGTCTGTGCACGTGAACAACCAAAGGGTCACTGATTCAGAATGATTATGTATGAGCACGAAGTAGGAGGACAAGTAAAACACTGAAAGTATATTAAAAAAAATATTATATACATTAAAGTTCGAGATAAAGAAATTTCAATGCACGTAGAGGAATATACAAAATGATAAAACAAATTTACACGCAAGAAATGAGTGCACCGACGTTTCGGCCGGGGCACTAGCTGCCTCCTTCGGGACTGCACGTATACCTTCTCCGGGTTCCGGCCAAGTGTAGCGCTGTAGCGTTTCGAACCATGCCGACGTTTCCGCACTAACCGTATTTTATTCAAAGTTTTAAGTGCATTTTCTACATTTTTGAATGGAAAAATGGCGGACGACAGGGCTCTTGAATACAGGGAACTCTGTGGTGCCAGTTACCGCAAACGGGCGAAAATGGGCCCCATTTTTCCACTGGACTTTTCAAAAAATAATTTATAAAGTTTTGACTCTAAGGCAGCGGTTATAGTTCCGAAACGTCGGCATCTGGTTTCGAACCGCGCTAGCGGTATACATTTGACCAAAGAATGAGTGGCAATCTCGAGCGACCAATCAAACGGCGTCAAAAGCGCGTGGTCAGCACGCCTTTTTCTGTTTACGACCGCTTCAGCGGCGATAGAGCACGTTCAGAAACACGGCGGTGCGCTTTTTTGACGCCGTCTGCTCGGTGCCATTAGCTCTTAACGTCGGCTGCGCGTCTTTTACTATATACTGTCGAGACTGGTTATAACGAAGCCCACGGGAATCGGAAATCACTTCGCTATATCCGCTATTTCGTTATAACCGACTTCGGTTATAACAAAGTGCAAAAGGGAATGTGGAATCGTGATCGCTTCGCTCTAGCCGCTATTTCGGTGTAACCGACTTCGGTTATAGCGAAGTGCAAAAGGCAATGGGACATCGAGATCGCCTCGCTGTAGCCAGTACTTCGTTATAACCGACCTCGTTATGACCGGTTTCGGCAGTATAAGCCGAAACAAAGTACAGACCAACTCAACTCTCTGACGTCACGCCGCTGCGTTGGCGCTGCTGTCGGTACCGCGCATGCGCAGATGCTTCACGCCTCCCAAATTTTGTTTCTGCGCACCATTACTTGGTGCGGGCAAAGCGGGCTTGTATGGAAACACTGTGTTGGTGTCTATAGAACGTTGGAAGCCCGCGTGAACAGCCTCCACTTTATTGCCTCGTGGCGTCATCGCACTCGGATGGCGTCGGCCGGGCGATTGGGCCCGAGCCCAATGCCGAACGTCCCTCGGCGTGCTGATTGGTCGCGAGGCCGCAGCCGAACGCCGACGCTGTGCTCGCCGGCCAATCTGTGCTACGAACGTGAATCCAAATATTCGTCGACGGATTGATTGTTGACGAGCGCATACGTCCGAGTGACACAGTTCTCGTGTCCAATGCGTGATCTGGGCTCGGCTGACGTCAGGTTGGCACCGCTGACGCGCTTTGGGAACCGCGGATGTATCCTAGTGAAAAGGCGGAGAACTTTCGAAGGAAAGAAGGTACAAAATAGTCCGCTATATTTTCAAATGTTCGTACCGAAAAGCTGGCTTTTATCTTTTTACCCTCTTTCTTTCGGCCAACTGAACGATATGCGATTAGTAAAGTCCCGATTTAAAAATCATTCATCCCAGCCCAAAATTCCCACACGCTCAAAGTGTTTTCTAAAACTTTGATTTAGTGGTTTTCAATGACGGTCGATAACTTCCTAATCGGAACCATATATGTCTATTTTCACTAAATAAAACGTTGATTAAGAAATGCTCATTAGCCGACTGATAGTTACGATTAGTCCCTTTACTATACTATGTCCCCCTGGCCGTCAAACTTACCCGCACAAACCGCATAAGTGTAACTGTCACGTTTTTTTTTTGTTTTTTTTTAAACAAATCTGTTAAGCTTAAGAAAGAAAAAAAAAAGGAAGAAAAACAGAGGAAAACAAAAGCACGAAAGCGTGATCAGAAAGTGCACTCCGCAGACGGGTCTCCAAATCACTCCCCACCGCCACAACGAGCCGGATGTGCAAATGACGGCCACATCACCGCCGGTTGTTTTTGCCCGGTCAACCGGAAGAGTTGAGCGTCACGTGCTTGAAGTAAACCAACCAGAGAAACGGAATTTCCCCCATGGTTGTATACTTCAAGTTGTTTATTGTTTTCTTTTTCCGACTACTCATTTACGGAGGATCCCGCCACTTTCAGTCGCGCGACGACGTCGCCTTCACTCGTTGGAGCCCGAAGCGCTTTATGCACATGCAGTGGCGTACCTTTATGCATATTTTTTTTTAATATTCAATACTGATAACCCCATTCGGGGTTGTTGTAGGGTGGTACAGTTTGAAATATTACAAGCAAAAACAATATTCAACACACAATTTGCAGGTCAATATTCAACGTTAACATAGAAGTCAAGATTGAAAAATTAGCAGAGAACTTCAATACAATAGATGCAGTGCAATTTTAAAAACAGCATAAAATATTAGTTTGTGATGAAATGTGGGCTTCTACGTAGTCGAGAAAGATTTCAATGGAAGAGGAATGAACAAAATTTTCAGGCAGATTGTTCCATTCGTTAATGGTTCGGGGAAAAAAAAATTTTTTTTTAAGCAGTTATTACGAGCGACGTCTTCCTCATCAACTTTGCCATGGTTGTACCGTCTTAATCGTTTGTTTGTTTGGATAAGATCATTTTCTTTTGGTAGGTTAAAAGGATCGTTGGCTAATTTGTATAGAAATTTAAGTCCTAGCCATTCTCGCTCTTTTTTCTGGAGAGGAGAGACCCAGTTGCCTGCAAAGTTTAGAGGGAGAGACGTGCCTACAATATTTATTGCAAATAAACCTCGCTGCCATTCTCTGAACTCTTTCTATCTTATTGATGCCGGAGACTGTGTGGGGGAACCAGACGACGTTGGCGTACTCGAGCGTAGGACATATTAAAGTTTTGTAGGCTAGCAATTTAGTGGCAAATTTGAAAACTCGTTTGAGGAAACTCAGCTTGTTTAAAGCTTTATTAGTTGTGGAGTCAATGTTTGAGTCCAAACGCAAATTTCGATTTATGTAGGGGCTGAGGTATTTGTGCTCACAGACTTGTTTCAAGAGATTGTTGCTTATCTGGTATAGGAAAAGGAGTATTGCTGTCTTTTATTGGTTATGGTCATAAATACAGTTCTATTCGAATTTATTTCCATCTTCCAATCATGGCACTAATTTATAATGTGTTGAAGCGCATTATTTAGGTTAATCTGGTGGTTTTGGTTATTTATTTGTGAGTAAAGTAGGCAATCATCAGCAGAGGCGAAGTTCTACGTTTACATCTTTTATGTATATAAGGAACAAAAAAGATGCCAGTACTGATCCCTGTGGGACTTCCGATGAAACTTTGCCTTTGAACGATGAGTGCGCATTAAGTGCTACGTACTGGTAGCGATCTGAAAGGTAGTCTTCAATCTACTTGAGAATGTTTCCTGCTCCTAGTATAGATTCTAGCTTAAACAATAGCTTCGGGTGAGATACCCTGTCAAAGGCTTTTGACAGATAGATGAATATGGCATCAACCTGTCCTCTATTGTTTATGACAGTGGAAACATCGTGAATGCTTTCAATAAGTCGCGTCACTGTTGAAAGTTGACGTCTGAAACCGTGCTGATATGGCGTAAGGATGTGGTTATTCTCGATGTAGGTGGATACATGCTTCGAAACAGCGTGTTCGAGAAATTTACGGTTTTGAAGTAAAGGAGATGGGCCTGTAGTTCGCGAATTCGTTTTTGTTTCCAGATCTATGAATGGGAATGACTTTCGCTAACTTCCAGTCTTTTGGAAGTTGTCCTTTATTAAAGGGGCCCTGCAGTACCTTTTTTGCGGTTTCCACATTTCTTGGGGTTCGAGCAAGCCAGCGGGCACAGAGAGAATAACTAAATATCAGTGCGTCATATTTTAACCGGACGACGCGGAAACCTCCTCCACCGACGGGGGCGACCCGCGGTGCCTAAAGCGCGCGATATGTGACGTCTTTGGTCCTGCCCTTACTACTACTCAGAACCGCAAAAAACCTTCTTTTTAGTCGAAATACAAAATATAAGTGGCGCGAACCGTTTCAGTTATTTACGAAAATAGTTTTTGTTCAGTATTCTAGATCAGAAAAGAAACAAATGCAGTTTATTAAGTAGGGAAACCAGAAATGACTGGTCGGCATACCCGCCACTAAGCGGTGGAAAAGGCGGCGCATACTAGAGAGTGGTAGTGGGATCAGGCACCGACGGGCGGCGAGCGTAGAAAGGTCCCGGATGTACGCTGCGGCGCTGCGGTCGAGGATCCGACCGGTTCCGAGCGTTTCAAAGGCCTTCGGAGCAGGTTTAGCTTGCGGTTTGGCCGTTTAGTGGTATGGCACCGCGAAGTGAGTGCCGTTCTGAACTGATCTTTGCGTGTGCTTGCTCTCGTTTGTGGCCAATGAAGCGTCATGCCGAATTAGTATTTAATCGCGCAGCAAACGCAATGTGAGCCGCCCTGGCTGCCCGCTTCATATAGCCTATCCAGAACGTGCTTTAGTGGCGCCCTCTCGAGCCGTCGACACGGAGTGCGGCAGTCTTTGAGCGCTCGCTGAGCTCACTTAGTTCACGGCCACTCAAGCAACCAAGGACGTCATGAAGGAGGTTATTTTTTGCTTGTTTTTGTAATTTTAATTTGCCTATAACTTTTTAAATAAAACGAAATTCGAGAAAAGAAAAGTGTCATTAAGTTACCACGTTCAGTGCGCTCGGGTTCGGTGCAAATTAAAAACAAGTAAAAAAATACCTTGCAGGGCCCCTTTAAGCGAGCATGTAAGTATTATAACAAAATATTTTGTTACTCATTCGGAGTTTCTTTTTAGAAATTTATTTGGTATATCGTCCGGCCCAGCTCTTTTTTGTGTGTGTTCAGGTTGAGTAGAAGCGATAAAAACACCCTGTTCAGTAACTACAACGTAATTCACAGCCACGACTGGGGAATAGAACGCGAATGAGGGCGCATTACCATTATCTGTTGTAAAGCCTAAAAGGAAATGATAATTGAAGGCTTTTGAAAGATTTGCTTTGTCGCCTAAAAACGTTTCTAGAATTGATTTTTTTTTTTTTTTTTTTTTGAGGGGGGGGGGGGGGGGCTGGCGTAGTTCCAGGATTTGGCGGGTGAAGATTGGATAAACGATTGAAGAGTAATATTGAAAATTTGTATTTAGCCGAATTGATTTTTTGTCCAAGATCACTGTTGAGTATGCCAATTTGTTCTTATTTTGAGGAGTTCTGGTGTTCTCTGCCCTTTTACGAAGCCTATTTATTTTGCGCTTCACATGGATGCTTTCTCTGGTTGTCCAAAAAATTTTCTTAACTATTCTTTTAGTTCACTGTGGAATAAAATACGAGACACACGCCTTAGCTGTCGTTTTGAATTCGTTCCAAAGCATATCTACAGTGGTAGAGCGCTCTTGGACAGTTGCCGAAAGTGATCGAAGTGTGTATAAAAAAGCGAGTACGCCAACGTCATCTGCTCTGTCCAAGTTCAAAACCTAGGGGTTGATGGCGCCTGCGATAAGTAATTTTTGTTTTTCGCACCCTTGTCAATAGTGATGATGATGATTGTTTTTTTTAAATCTCGCGTGTTTACAAAATTGGACTGGCTATGCAGTGTACTGAACACACGAAAGGAGACGCCAAACAAGATATGCTTCCGTTAAACATTCTCACCTCACGCCCATGTTTTGCGGCAAAATAAGTAGACATTTAAAACTGCATTGGTTCTAAACAACTTAGTTACATATAAGGAAAAAGTAAGTCAGCGAATGTTAACAGTTTGATAAATCGCGAAGACGCTCAGATAAAGCTATTGACACTTTAGTAGCTAGGGAACTATCGTTTAGGTTCGCCACATTTTCCTGACCCCCTTTTGATTAGTCACAGAACAAATACAGAAGTTAATACACCAGGGCACTGTCTAAAATATAACTTGTCCCGTTTTCGCTGAAGCGAATTTTAGTACAACTTCATCGAAGTAAGTTTACTCACTGTCTCCTCTTTATAACTCGAGAGCGAGATTATGGAAGCTCAAGATACCAAAGTATTAATTTCAACTTGCTAAATATTTCGTGACGAGGAGAGCGCTCTGCAGCTCGGTCAGAGGTTGCTTTCGGCCCGCGGTGCCCTTCGTCCAATCATGGCTTCCTCCTCGGGCACTCGTCACCGGACAGGTGACGAGCGCCCGGGACGGGTGCCACCCTGTACTACGTCCTAGATACGCAACTGTGCATGTGTATGCTTTAAACAGGTCTGCAGACGGTTTTTGTATGGCCTATGCCACATGACCGCCATATAGACAGTGCGTGCACACTGCCTATTTTTTTTAGCGGAGGTGGTACCCTGTTAAAAAATGTGGACATAGCTTCTATACAGGGTGTCCCCATCGGACCTTCCGCAATAAAACGAATCGGAAAAATCGGCGCCTGCAGATAGCGGAAACTCAAACTTCCATTTAATGGGCATCGACCAGGTCAGTTTTACCATATGAAATTTCAAGGCGCAGTTCTTTTGCTGTAAAACGTGAGAGCAAAAAAACTTGCCAAAGTCAAGATTAGACGCGTTTGCAGACGACCGACTCATCAACGCCATACACTTGTGGCGCCATCTCCCGATTGGCGAAGCGAGTAGACAAACGCGCTCGGTTGTCTGGTCGCAGCGCCTATTGGAAGATGGCGCCACAAGTAAATAGCGTCGCTAACTCGGTCGTCTGCAAACGCGCCCAAGCCTTGACTTTGAAAAGTTGTTTTTGTTCTCGCTCTTTCGAGAAAGAGGATTGCGCCTTGAAATTTAACCCTGTAAAACAGACCTACTCGGTGCACAATCGGTGAAAGTTTGAGCTTCGTATATGCAGGCACCGATTTTTCAGGCTCGTTTTACAGCGGAAGGTCCGCTTGGGACAACATACATTTCTATTTTTGTCGGCCATTTCGCATTCAATATGTCAATCGTCTGCTGGCACCGCTGTTCCAAGCGAACGGTGCTGTGCTCGAAGAGTGGCTGGAATGTACTCACGCGTGATGCAGTGCCCTCCTCGCCCATACCTCCTCGTCCAGCCATCGCAGCACTGTGGTATCGATCCCCGGAAACATACATTGACCCTGCAACAGACATATATGACAGATTTATGCCCGCATTCCCGTAAACAGTCTTGCAAAAATAAATAAATAAATAAAGGGATTAAAAACGGCGCCATAGGGTGGCGGTCGTTGAAACTAACAAGCAGCGGCCAATGGGAACCTCGTTGACGCGCGCCAGCCATCGGGACTGAAGCCGAAATCCATCAGCTTTACTGCGCTCCTTTGGGATCGGGGAAACTAGGTGCCATTTGGCGCGGCTTCAAAGCTGATGACGTCGGCTCGCTCCATGGGACTGTTAATGCTTTCGCATTAAAAAGCCCGGCTCATCGCGTAATATAATGTGTGTAATTAAAGGGGCCATAAAATCATTTTTGGACTTGGATAAAATATTTTAGATTGGGATTTTACTAATCGCATATCGCTTAGTGGGCCAAAAGAAAGAAAGTGGAACGTCAAAAACCTGCTTTCCGCTACGGTATTAGAAAAATATGGCGCACTACATCGTATCTATTTTCCTTCAAAAACGCTCCGCATTTTCACTGTGATACATCCGCATTTTTACTGTGATACAGCTAAGGAGGAAGAAGTTGACAAAAACGTTTCATGGTTCTTTGAGATATATGTATACGCGCACCTTAGATTCGCTTTATGTTATTTCACCAAGGCATACGCATCTCAACACCCAAAGGTTACGCTAATTTCTTCCCGGCGACAGCCAAATCTTGTAAGGACTACTTCGCGCAGAGCGTGAATAATGCGTAATGTTTCTCGAAGTGACCACAAGTGTAGTAACTTTCTTTTTAAGTCATAATCCAAACGAACTAGGGGTTGTTAGTCACGCCGTTGCTATACCCACACCGCCTAGAATAATTAAACCCTGTGCACTGGAATTCTGACGTCATCACAGTTGGATCGAGCCAAGACAGTGATTGGCCACAAAGGTTGCGTCATCGTTCGGCTAGACTCGGTGTCCAATCAACGTGTCGAAGGACGTTCGGCGTTCGCTCCCTGGAGGAAGAGGTGGTCGTTCGCGGGCTTTGATTATTCTAGGTGGCGTTGGCTATACACAACTTTCGGTGACGTCACAGCATTTTCCATTCTGGTACTTTAGCTCTCAGCGCCCCAAAATCACCTCCTGCGCGCTGCCATCTTTTTTTCTGCTGGGCTGTGCAGCGCCTTCTGAGCATGCGCTGTAGCTCTGCTGTGCGTGTATCAGACGCTGCGGATGCGTCCACAGCTCAGTGACTCAGCATTTTTCGCCCCGGTGATAAGCGGCCTTATGCAGCCTAAAGGCTGACCCACATAGGGCGTATTCTCGACGAATTTACGCGCGTTTCAGTGGGCGTAATGACGGCCTTTAACTGGCGCATTTTGTTTTTACAGCAGAGGAGAGGGGAAGGTCGCCGAACCACACACGGCGCTTTTCGTCAGCGTCTCCTCAGGCTTTGGTGCGGTGTGGCCCGACTCGCGCTTTTCGCGAAACGAGGCAAAATGTAAATCGGCTGCCTTATTATTACCTTCCGTACGGGGACGGAAATAACTGCATGTTAATCAGCAACGAAAGCCTAACTTGTTAACCCTTGTCTCAAAAAACGTTCTTTGCAATCTCCAAGTTGCTAACAAGTCCCGGCACGAGGACGGCCGCGATCTCTCCTCAAAACCCTTCTTTATCATATTTTTTTTTATGTCTCCCGCCGCCACATAGATGGTTTTTGTCGTTCCTTCTCACTCGTTCATCGCTCGTTTGAAAGAGATATAACGATTTTGTAGAGTTCGCCCATAAACCGTTGAACGCGACAAGCGAGCGCCCATTTCGGCGGCTGAGTCAAGCCGGCCGCAAAGCTAGGCAAGCCAATCCTCGAGCAACTTCCACTTCCGGCTGTCAACTCGCTAGCTGATTGGCCGGCTTGCGCCGTACGCTTCCGGATACGCCACGCCGAAATACGCTGGAGCGCCGAGATCTGTCTCGGTCGGATCGCCGAATACGCCGGCGTATTTACACCGACAATGAAGCGTCGAGGAAACGCTCGCGTGCAATCCATGATTTATCTTGGCCGATCCGTGTGCAAACACTTTGTAGTTAAAATTTTCAAAATTTCAATCGCAGTAGCTAAGGTAAAAATTGAAATATAAAAATGCGCAGTGTTTCTGAATTCGGAGCATTATTCGCCAAAAACTAATCAATGCTAAGAGTGTCACAGTTTAGGGGGATCCGTGGCCGAGAAAGAGGTTATTGAAGCTTTTAAGGTTTTAAGTGTAAGGTATCCTTATTAATACTTGGCTTCGGTCACCCGAAGAAAGTTGTATCGCGACTTGCTTGACAACCTTCTTCCTGTACCGCTGTATCGGAAGTATTTCGAAGATAAACCAGGACAGGACATCTTGGCTCGCGTTAAGAAAATGGCCATACCTCCAGCAGAAAAGTCGTTTTTCTTTCGCTTGCATAGCGAGACCTTGCCTGTGAAGCTGTGGCTTGGAGAAAGGGGTTTAATTGTACCTGGCGGAGTCAACTGCTCACTGTGTAAGGAACCCGAAACGATTGAGCTTGCCTTCCTGTACTGTTGGGACGCCATTTTTCTCTGGGATGTTTTGAAAAGAACCTTAAAAAAGGAATTATGCATAACGTCGTATACAATACGATTCCTTCCTGTTGAGCCTTACTCTGATGTTCCATATGACATGATTATGGTTCTTAACGCTCTTCAGCTTGTGGAAATCTCGTTTGTCTGTGAGGCATGCTGAACAGCCCCCGAAATCTGCACGCCTGTTTTTCATTGAGGTGATTACACAATTCAAGAGTGTATATGAGTACAGCCGGACACTGCCCGAGTGGGCAGATGCGTTGGAGAGTTTGTGCAAGATAAAATAATTTTAAATGTACAGCTGCCCGAAAGCATCGCATAGTGGGTTTTAGTGTAAGCATGTAAATACGCGCTGAACAAAGAAAAAAAAAATCCGTGGCCGAGTGGGCTAAAGCGCCCACCCAGCTCGACGCGCGTGGAGCGAAATCTCGCGCTGCAGAACCCAGGGATCCTGGGTTCGAGCCCACCCCTGCCCGTTTCGATATGGATGAGCATCGTACCGGCGTGCGGTCGTGTATCACTACTGCGTGGTGCACGTTAAAGACCCCAGGCTAGCGGTTGTACTGCGCACTGGCTAAATTGCTCATCTACAGCGTGTGACTCGTCGCAACTGTAATGGCTGACCAGCTACACGCTGTATAAATATCCCCACAACCTCAATTTTTTTTTGTCATAGTTTAGCATGGAACGTGATTGGACCTGGCGGCCCGCGGCTTTGGCCTCGAGTCCATCGTAGGATGAAACGAAGTTTTTTTTTTGTTTTTCTTTATAGTTTTTTTTTTTTTTTTTTTGTCTCGGAAGTGTCTGTTCATTCTCGCCCCGAACGCTCGATGCTCGAGCCTTCTGGGCCGAATTTTCGCGAGGCCGACGCAAACTTGATAGGGAGCTGCCCGCTACCTTGTCGAGTCAGTCCCGCTCTCGCTTGCTGTTACGCCGCCAAATCGCCGCCCGCTTTTCTGCTGCCTCGACGCTCTCGTCCTTTCTTTTGTTTGGCACAAGTTCGCCGATCAAACCCTTTTTTGAGTTTACTTTTGTCGAGCTCTTTTCCATCCGTGACAATATAAACCCCGTCATACTAGAATATTTTTTGGGGGTTAGTGAATATTTTTTTATATTTTTAGAGCGCAGCTCTTAGGGGCCCGTTCCCGGCTTGAGCGGCGTCGCCGTCGCCGTCGCCGTCGGCGTAACCGCGCGGTGCATTATGGGTAAATTTCCCGCTAAATCTAGCGGAAAAAATTTCCCCGCTAAATCTAGCGGAAAAAATTTCCCCGCTAAATCTAGCGGAAAAATTTCCCCGTCAAATCTAGCGGAAAAAATTTTCCCGCTAAATCTAGCGGAAAACTTTCCCCGCTACATCTAGCGGAAAAAATTTCCCCGCTAAATCTAGCGCAAAAATTTCCCCGCTAAATCTAGCGGGAAAATTTCCCCGTCAAATCTAGCGGAAAAAAGTTTCCCGCTAAATCTAGCGGAAAACTTTCCCCGCTAAATCCTAGCGGAAAAAATTTCCCCGCTAAATGTAGCGGAAATTTCCCCGCTAAATCTAGCGGAAAACTTTCCCCGCTAAATCTAGCGGAAAAAATTTCCCCGCTAAATCTAGCGGGAAAATTTCCCCGCTAAATCTAGCGGAAAAAATTTCCCCGCTAAATCTAGCGGAAAAAATTTCCCCGCTAAATCTAGCGGAAAACTTTCCCCGCAAAATCTAGCGGAAAAAATTTCCCCGCGGTCACGTGACCCGGGGGTCACGTGACCTGGGGTCACGTGACCCCCTCCCGAGGTCACGTGCCCCCCCCCCCCCCCCCGAAAACACGTGGCCCTCAGTACCCTCCCCTCCTCCTCCTCAAGAGCTGCGCTCCAATTCGGCGTTACAGGGAGTGGTAAACGGCTTTCAGTTTTTTGCTCCTGCTTTGCATTCTTAGTTTTGGGGTGAGCCATGAATTGATATCTCTATCGATCAAATGCTTGTTTGAAGGTTTCCATACTTATTTGGCGTTGGTATGGCGGAAGGAAAAGAACTTGCGGAATAGAGCCGTTTCCGCTAGGTGACCGGCCTTACACGTTTTATTAAAATAAGTGCCTGCACGTCTGTTTGTTTGCAGCTCTACCTCTGAGGCAATAATGGAGACCCACTAAAAAGAAGCAGCAGATAACGCGTTGTTAAAGACAAACTGGAAAAAAAAAAGCGATATGATCATTCACATTGCGTGAACCAATTGTAATTCTCAGTAGCCCTGAGCAGAACGCGTTCTTAGACAGATCCGTTCTTCTTATTATTTTTTTTTTTCGCTGTGATTATTTTTGTGATGGCGGTCCGCATATTGCCGTGATTGCCACTCCTCTCTATCAGAAGAAAACTTTCTAGGCTAACCTTCGTCCATAACATCTATCATAATAACCCACTCCTCAAGCTTAAACTATTAAAGCCGCCACACCGTATTTTTC